CCATGAATAAACATAATGATATTATTAAATCATAAATTAAAATATTAATATATTAAGACAGTTGATAACTTAAAATATTTTTTTTCTGTCCTCTTATAGCTGTTGTCACATCAATCACAAATAAGAGCCACTGTCTTAAGACGTTTAGCATTATTCGTATTACAATAGTTATAACTATGTATAATATATATTATGTTGTTTGCCATATTTTATAACTGCATTGTATCTTGCAATGTGGCATTGTGACGTTCGCATATTACTGACCACAGAACGTAATTCTTTTGATTTCCATGTCGAATCGTTTAAACTATAAATTTATTTTATGTTTCCTAACACATAGATAAATCGTGTTTATTTTGTCTGGTAAAACATTGGGGATTTGGAGCATAATTCTTTTATTTATATTTTATTGGCCTCTTTAGACCAATCCGGCAATCCATTTGTTCTACAATAAAAAAAAAAGTATAGGYATATTAATATCCATTTCAGCGTACATACACATTGTGATTAGTGGATAACATGTATGACATCGCTTATCAGGTCGATATTATATCTATATYATAATAATTAACGATTTGAAAATGACAATACTAAAAAAAAGTTGACTATGATTTCGTAATTTTATCTCAATATAGGTAATATTAAACATATATCATGGTCAATGAGTGGTCATCGAATAATATAATATAAACAATATAAATATAAATATATAAAAAAAAATAAATATACCATTGGAGCAACGACCCTCAGTTTGTTATTGTTTTGTCAATATATTTTTAATATTTTTCGTGTTGTATTAATTAGCACACTTTTATTTCCTACGTAAATTTTGTTCAACGCATTTTACAATGATTGAATAATAATACAAATGATAGGTATATAATAGTCAATTATTATGATATTGTTATTGTTAATTATTGTGATATTTTTATTACTATATAGTTTATAGATCATAGGTTAGTATACCTAAATATTATAAATATATATTTCAAGGTATTGAGTAATGGCATAAATAATTGATTG